ATATGCTTAAATTTAGTGTTAATGTAAGTTTAGTCGTTCTACAAACGTTGGGCTATATGTTTAGATTTTAAATACATTGTAAGGCTGCATGATGAGACTAATGATGATTTGAAAAAAGTCGCTTGAAAGGCATAAGCTCTGCTTAGTTTTTTTGCACAGGCTGTACACACTCCAATAGTCTCTCATTCACAATTTGACAAGCACTTGATAATGCCTCGAATTTCACAGCGGCATCCCCTTTGTGTCCGTAATGCGCCCTAGTGCTGCGTTGTGCCAAAAGCACTAGCCTATGTCAATCTACTATCCCCCATAGTACAAAAGTCTACCGATTCTATTCTGTGCGAGAAATAAATATTCCAAACATCATCTGGGACAGTTGTGGGGTAAAATAGTTCCCAAATTAATACAAGGATGGATGGATGGGGCCATGTACTATCAAATATTGGGTGAGAACCTCCTTCCCTCAGCCAGGGCATTGAAAATATGTTGTGGATGGGTATTCCAGCATGACAATGATCCAAAACACATGGCCAAGGCAACAAAGGAGTGGCTCAAGAAGAAGCACATTAAGGTCCTGGAGTGGCCTAGTCAGTCTCCAGACCTTAATCCCATAGAAAATCTGTGGAGGGAGCTGAAGGTTCGAGTTGCCAAACGTCAGGCTCAAAACCTTAATGACTTGGAGAAGATCTGCAAAGAGGAGTGGAACAAAATCCCTCCTGAGATGTGTGCAAACCTGGTGGCCAACTACAAGAAACGTCTGACCTCTGTGATTGCCAACAAGGGTTTTGCCACCAAGTACTAAGTCATGTTTTGCAGAGGGGTCAAATACTTATTTCCCTAATTAAAATGCAAATCAATTTATAACATTTTTGACATGTGTTTTTCTGGATTTTTTTGTTGTTATTCTGTGTCTCACTGTTCAAATAAACCTACCATTAAAATTATAGACTGATCATGTCTTTGTCAGTGGGCAAACGTACAAAATCAGCAGGGGATCAAATACTTTTTTCCCTCACTGTATATCCACAGTAAAACAAGTCCTATATAGACATGACCTGAAAGGCCGCTCAGCAAGGAAGAAGCCACTGCTCCAAAACAGCCATAAAAAAGCCAGACTACGGTTTGCAACTGCACATGGTGACAAAGATCGTACTTTTTGGAGAAATGTCCTCTGGTCTGATGAAACAAAAATATAACTGTTTGGCCATAATGACCATCGTTATGTTTGGAGGAAAAAGGGGAATGCTTGCAAGCTGAAGAACACCAACCCAACCGTGAAGCACGGGGGTGGCAGCATCATGATGTGGGGGTGCTTTGCTGCAGGAGGGACTGGTGCACTTCACAAAATAGATGGCTTCATGAGGAAGGAAAATTATGTGGATATATTGAAGCAACATCTCAAGACATCAGTCAGGAAGTTAAAGCTTGGTCGCAAATGGGTCTTCAAAATGGACAATGACCCCAAGCATACTTCCAAAGTTGTGGCAAAATGGCTTAAGGACAACAAAGTCAAGGTATTGGAGTGGCCATCACAAAGCCCTGACCTCAATCCTATAGAAATGTTGTGGGCAGAACTGAAAAAGCGTGTGCGAGCAAGGAGGCCTACAAACCTGACACAGTTACACCAGCTCTGTCAGGAGGTATGGGCCAAAATTCACCCAACTTATTGTGGGAAGCTTGTGGAAGGCTACCTGAAACGTTTGACCCAAGTTAAACAATTGAAAGGCAATGCTACCAAATATTAATAGAGCGTATGTAAACTTCTGACCCACTGGGAATGTAATGAAAGAAATAAAAGCTGAAATAAATCATTCTCTCTACTATTATTCTGACATTTCACATTCTTAATTCCTAACTGACCTAAGACAGGGAATTTTTACTAGGATTAAATGTCAGGAATTGTGAAAAACTGAGTTTAAATGTATTTGGCTAAGGTGTATGTAAACTTCCGACTTCAACTGTACACTCGGAAAAGGTGGCGCCATGTTTAATATCTAGCAGAACAATTTTGGAGCTGCTGGCGAAAAGAGTATCTCGCCAACATCACCATCAGGCAGTGCTGGCACACCCTGAAGAGAAACCTGCGAATCGATGACATAGTGATGATGATCTTCCTAGCAATGAGTGGTGGTTGGGTAGAGTTTCAGAGACTACTGTTGATAAAGATGGACTAGTAAGGAGAGTCAAAATATGTTGGTGATCGGAAGTTAGAGAAGACAGGCAAGCGTCTCACCAAGCCATCAGTGTTCAAACACCCAGTTCAGAAGCTGGTCTTGTTGCTAGACTGGTTAAGATAGATGCCCCCCAAATCGCTTTACATCCTATATCTAACCATGATCTCTTATACTTTTGACTGGTTTGTGCTATGATTCCATCTTTATGATACCCTATTTATGGTCATAGGTCATTTAAAGTACAGAAATCATTCGTGCTTTGTGTATCCCATGTAAATTGTTCCAAATCACTCATGATTTGGTGGGAGTGTAAATGAACCCCTAAAAACGAGTGTCAGACCACAATGTCTGCTCTACATTTAGACTTTTACTTTCTTTGTATGAGCTTTCAATCCTCACTGTATATTTCACAGTTTAGTGTGACAGCAGGTTTTGGCCTTCTCTGTTTTACACACAAAGGGTATATGGGAAACGGGAGCGAGAGAAAAAGGAAAATAACTTTTTGTTGAGGTTGTTCAAGCGTCCAAGAAACAACGTCAAACTTAACACCTAGCTGGAAAGAGAACAAGGTATTTACGGTTTTTCAATATTGGTCTTGTTTCAGAAATCTTTCAAATTATTTTCAACGTGTACTGAACGGATATTTGTATTGTAATTGATGTTCTGAAGTCTGCTAGCAATATGACGTTATTAGCTGTAGCCTAGCTCCACTGTTTGTGCTGGCTAATATTAGTTCATCTTGCGCCACATTAACAAGCTGTTGGCACGTAATCAACTATTTGGGTAGAAATTCTCATCCATATTGATGCATTTGATGTATGAAGCACGCTAATGTAAAGTTGTGTAAAAGTATTGTTTGTGGACTGTATTGTTCATATTGCAAAATCATTTCTGGTTTGTTTCTCCATCAGCTCTTACAGTGTGTTTATGGAAATGGTACCACATTAAACTTTCATGAACCATCAGTTTGAGAGTTGACCATTTATTCAGCTGGGCATGCTACAACTAGTGACTGATTACCTTATCCCCACTGGAGTCAGACAGCACAATATATGATGGTTGCTGCTTCTTCTGTAGATAACTAAGGACGGATTCCTTCTCGACTCTAGAGGTAGATGATGTAGAGCTAAGGAGACAAAAGAGCACAAAAATATTTCACTGATAAAGAATGCACATTTATATACAGTGGGGAAAAAAAGTATTTAGTCAGCCACCAATTGTGCAAGTTCTCCCACTTAAAAAGATGAGAGAGGCCTGTAATTTTCATCATAGGTACACGTCAACTATGACAGACAAATTAAGAAAAAAAAATCCAGAAAATCACACTGTAGGATTTGTTATGAATTTATTTGCAAATTATGGTGGAAAATAAGTATTTGGTCACCTACAAACAAGCAAGATTTCTGGCTCTCACAGACCTGTAACTTCTTCTTTAAGAGGCTCCTCTGTCCTCCACTCGTTACCTGTATTAATAGCACCTGTTTGAACTTGTTATCAGTATAAAAGACACCTGTCCACAACCTCAAACAGTCACACTCCAAACTCCACTATGGCCAAGACCAAAGAGCTGTCAAAGGACACCAGAAACAAAATTGTAGACCTGCACCAGGCTGGGAAGACTGAATCTGCAATAGGTGAGCAGCTTGGTTTGAAGAAATCAACTGTGGGAGCAATTATTAGGAAATGGAAGACATACAAGTCCACTGATAATCTCCCTCGATCTGGGGCTCCACGCAAGATCTCACCCCGTGGGGTCAAAATTATCACAAGAACGGTGAGCAAAAATCCCAGAACCACACAGGGGGACCTAGTGAATGACCTGCAGAGAGCTGGGACCAAAGTAACAAAGCCTACCATCAGTAACACACTACGCCGCCAGGGACTCAAATCCTGCAGTTCCAGACGTGTCCCCCTGCTTAAGCCAGTACATGTCCAGGCCCGTCTGAAGTTTGCTAGAGTGCATTTGGATGATCCAGAAGAGGATTGGGAGAATGTCATATGGTCAGATGAAACCAAAATAGAACTTTTTGGTAAAAACTCAACTCGTCGTGTTTGGAGGACAAAGAATGCTGAGTTGCATCCAAAGAACACGATACCTACTGTGAAGCATGGGGGTGTAAACATCATGCTTTGGGGCTGTTTTTCTGCAAAGGGACCAGGACGACTGATCCGTGTAAAGGAAAGAATGAATGGGGCCATGTATCGTGAGATTTTTAGTGAAAACCTCCTTCCATCAGCAAGGGCATTGAAGATGAAACGTGGCTGGGTCTTTCAGCATGACAATGATCCCAAACACACTGCCCGGGCAACGAAGGAGTGGCTTCGTAAGAAGCATTTCAAGGTCCTGGAGTGGCCTAGCCAGTCTCCAGATCTCAACCCCATAGAAAATCTTTGAGGGAGTTGAAAGTCTGTGTTGCCCAGCGACAGCCCCAAAACATCACTGCTCTAGAGGAGATCTGCATGGAGGAATGGGCCAAAATAGTGTGTGAAAACCTTGTGAAGACTTACAGAAAACGTTTGACCTGTGTCATTGCCAACAAAGGGTATATAACAAAGTATTGAGAAACTTTTGTTATTGACCAAATACTTATTTTCCACCATAATTTGCAAATAAATTCATAAAAAATCCTACAATGTGATTTTCTGGATTTTTTTTTCTTATTTTGTCTGTCATAGTTGACGTGTACCTATGATGAAAATTAAAGGCCTCTCTCATCTTTTTAAGTGGGAGAACTTGCACAATTGGTGGCTGACTAAATACTTTTTTTCCCCACTGTATATGAGGTTTCCTTCCTGGTTAACAGCATTGACCAATAAGGAGTCTTCTTACCATTTGAGCATCTGTTCATTGCCCTCGTTCTCTGATTGGCTCAGCTCTTCACTCATACCAGACTCTTCTTGCTCTGATTGGCTATCATCATCATCACTACTCTGGCTATCCAATTTCTCACCTGAGGCGATGGAAGAAAGCAGAGAATGAGTTTACTCTGGGTAACAGGACCAACTCCAACACTAGGGCACTGATGGTATCCAATCATAGTCGTGCCACAGAACGCATCCCATACAAACCTTTGGTTCTTCTAGACTTCCTGACTATCTGCTCAATCCCTTTTTCTTCAGCGGTTTTCTGATCACTTGGATTTCCATCATCAAGGCTGAGCTTGTGGCGTAGCAGACGATGTCTGTGACAAGTTTTACTGGACTCAGAGTCAGAGGTTAAACTGGAGGTCTCCCCTGCAGCAGAAACAACATGGTATATTGTCAGGAGGACATCATATTCCTATCGTGAATGTCTATGCAACCTGTACACTAATACGCAGTGACACAGGGTGATGGGTTAGATCATCACAACAATATGGGCCTACTTTAAAATGTCCAGTTACTAAGCAACAGGTGATGTCAGATAAGTATTTCAGCCTAATGACTAAAACACATTCTTATTACATTTACATTTTAGTCATTTAGCAGACGCTCTTATCCAGAGTGACTTACAGTTAGTGAGTGCATACATTTTCATACTGGCCCCCCGTGGGAAACGAACCCACAACCCTGCCGTTGCAAGCGCCATGCTCTACCAACTGAGAAACACGTGGCCTTATTCAAAGCAACACTAAATTGAGCTTATTGCTGCATCTCAAAATAAATGTGAAATTGTAGTGGCGGTAAGGAGGGATCACTAACCATTCTCATCAGAGCTTTCATCTTTCCGAACTTCTTTTTCCTTCTCTTCCCTGTCAGATTCATCATCATGTGATGACTCCACGTCTGAAGAGAAATCCTCCCCCGATGAGTAGTTGGCTTTGATTTGGGCCAAGAGCATTTTCTTAGCGATTCTTTCAGAAGCAAGGGAGAGAGGCAAAGGGACCGGGGGATCATTTTAATGATCATCACAACAAATCCATCAAGCCATGCTTAATAGGTTTATTCTCTAAAGGAACTTGTCTTTACATAGGAATTTACAATCAAGATGTAGGACTTCACCTTAAACTGAGTAATATTACCAGGAGATACATTTCTTCTAGAATTAATGAAAATAACAAGGTCATGTTGGCTATTCTAGTATCACTTTGCAGTCCCCCACCTGGAAACAGCCGACAATATAGTTTAAGTGATTATGAGTGGGGAAAGGCCACTGCATTAAGCAGTTGAATGGTTTTTCTTTACTGATGTAAATACACTACATGACCAAAAGTATGTGGACACCTGCTTGTCAAACATCTCATTCCAAAATCATGGGCATTAATATAGAGTTGGTCCCCCCTTCGCTGCTATAACAGCCTCCACTCTTCTGGGAAGGCTTTCCACTAGATGTTGGAACATTATTGCAGGGACTTGCTTCCATTCAGCATTAGTGAGGTCGGGCACTGATGTTGGGCAATTAGGCCTAGCTCGCAGTCGGCATTCCAATTCATCCCAAAGGTGTTCGATGGGGTTGATGTCAGGGCTCTGTGCAGGCCAGTCAAGTTCTTCCACACCGATCTCGAAAAAACATTTCTGTATGGACTTTGCTTTGTGCACGGGGGCATTGTCAAGCACAGAATCATCTACAATGTCATTGTATGCTGTAGCGTTAAGATTTCCCATCACTGGAACTAAGGTGCCTAGCCAGAACCATGAAAAACAGCCCCAGACCATTATTCCTACACCAAACTTTACAGTTGGCATTATGCATTCGGACAGGTAGCGTTCAACTGGCATCCGCCAAACTCAGATTCGTCCGTCGAACTACCAGATGAAGCGCGATTCATCACTCCAGAGAACGCGTTTCCACTGCTCCAGAGTCCAATGGCGGTGAGCTTTACACCACTCCAGCCGACGCTTGGCATAGCACATGGTGATCTTAGGCTTATGTGCGGCTGCTCAGCCATGGACATCCATTTCATGAAGCTCCCGACGAACAGTTATTGTGCTGACGTTGCTTCTAGAGGCAGTTTGGAACTCGGTAGTGAGTGTTGCAACCGAGAACAGATGATTTCAATGTGCTACAGCACTCAGCAGTCCCGTTCTGTGAGCTTGTGTGGCCTACCACTTCACGGCTGAGCCATTGTTGCTCCTAGACATTTCCAGTTTACAATAACAGCACTTACAGAAATGTTACGAACTGACTTGTTGGAAAGGTGGCAACCTATGACAGTGCCACATTGAAAGTCACTGAGCTCTTCAGTAAGGCCATTCTACTGCCAATGTTTGTCTATGGAGATTGCATGGCGGTGCTCAATTTTATAAACCTGTCAGCAACGGGTGTGGCTAAAATAGCCAAATCCACTAATTTGAAGGGGTGTCCACATACTTTTGCATATATAGTGTATGCTGTGAGCAAATAGACAACGCTAAAACGCTCTGTCAAGGACTATTTCACTTCATTTAATTTTGTCTTAAAAACGCAAAACATTGAGGAGTCAAAGGTCAGATAACTTAATGACCTTGTAAGCACATTTGAATCAACCCCTCCCCTCCATAACAAATATCTAAGACTTATCACTCAGAACAAGATGAACAAATCCAGTCCTATATAGAATAAGGAAGACATACAAGACATCATAAAGGGTATTAATTTATTACAACGAATAGTTTCTCTTACAGAGTTCATTCAATTACAAAAGTAAGAACATATCCTTGGTCTAATGCATGCTCTACAAATAACAGGCCTCTACAAGGCTAACACTACAGCACCTTAGAGCTAAAGACAACATAAATGATTAATTCTATTTGAAAATACGTTTTCTAACCACTGTTTTTTTTAGTTGGTACGCAAGAAATAGTTTGTGAAGGGTAAAAAAAAACAGGGTCCAAATGGTTTTGTAGGGCATTTTCCAAGTTCGATATTCTGTGAAATAAATGTATCCATTTATACATGAATATGTTTTGCAGAAAGAATCCTTTTGGCAGATAGTAATAGTTGAACGAAGCCTCTGATGAAGCCTCAGCGAGAAGTACGTGTACATGATGAGGGCCCCATATGAGGCAGTAACAAACAGCAGCGGCCGGCAACAGCCTGGGCCTGGGCCTTACCTCAAGTGTTTAAACTGGGAAGAGAGAAAATGGAAGAAGAAAGAAAGACACTTCACTACATACTCGTCTCACAGCAATGTTGTAAGGCTGACCTCAGAGGTCACAAAGTTGTGGTGGAATAAAATGCATTACAACCGTTCTACATGACCAGCTTTCAGAGCTGTTGCTTAGGGCATCGAGCTCATCCAAAGTGAAATGCAATTGCATTAAAACTTGTAATAATTTAAAATGTAGGTAAATGGCCAATAAATGTGGCATTGCATGCAAAACAGACATGAAAATACTGAAAATCTGATTATGGATCGAGTATAACAATCAAAGCATACAAGAAATTCAGCTTGGTGCCTGTGGTACAAAACGGCTCTAAAATACAGTACAGTAGGTCTAATAATCAGTGTCTTTGGTATACTGCTGTTCAGCATCACAAGTCCTCTTTCTCTGCTAAGCCCTCAACCTGGTCAGAAGCGATAAATCATATATTTTAAAATTAAATCAAGCAGAATAGATTGCATTTACAGTCTGTTCAGAGAGAATCGGATCGTCAACGCATCGTATTAGTACTCAAGTGTCAGAATAGCAGCACGTAAAACAGCCACCTCACCACTGGCATATTGCACATGAACTTTATCAATAGATCAAGAAAGAAATCTCCATATGGTAACCATACACCAACATAATTACCAAATACTAGGAGAAACTTTTTACAATGACTTAGAGAAATTAGCAACATCCAGCAGCCACAAGGGCAGGGGTGGAAAAAGTACTCAATTGACATAGTAGAGTAAAAGTAGATACCATAATAGAAAATGACTCAAGTAAAAGTCACTTGAGTAAAAGTCTGAAAGTATCTGGTTTTAAATTTACTTAATGTACAGTGGTAGAAAAAGTACTTAATTGTCATACTTGAGTAAAAGCTATACATCTAATTCCTTATATTATGCAAACCATTTTATTTACGGACAGCCAGGGGAACACTCCAACACCCAGAAATAATTTACAAACGCAGTATTTGTGTTTAGTGAGTCCACCAGATCAGAGGCAATAGGGATAACAACGCGTTATATTGATAGGTGCATGAATTTAACTTTATTGCTGTCCTGCCTGTGCATTCGAAATGTAACGAGTACTTTTTGTGTGTCAGGGAAAATGTATGGGAGTAAAATGTACATATTTTCTTTAGTTATGTAGTGGAGTAAAAGTAAAAGTTTTAAAAACATAAATAGTAAAGTACAGATACCCAAGAAAACGACTTAAGTAGTAATTGAAAGTATTTTTACTTACTTATTTTACACCACTGCACAAGGGTGCAGTCATGTACAATACTGCCACCCTAAAGAATGCCTGGTCATGAGTTGACCATTAGGGCATGTATAATATAATCAGGGTTTGGGTTCTAAATCCCAGTCACTTCAGAATTGACATCAAACTCAATGATTACTAATTCCCAGTGATAGGAAGGTAATTCACCCCATCTAGTGTAATGATACAGATATATCCACATCTGTAAGTGAAGTCTAAGGGCACTTTCAGGTGTGTATTGTGTATACTGGTGTGATGTATTAGCTTTTATTAGTTTTAACCATTTTAGGCTATGCTTCGCCAAAAACAAAAATTCTACATAAACATCACCTTGCTGGCTTGTTTTCATGCAGCGCAAAATTAAACGCAACTTGTACTACCATCAGACCATAGATCAAGAACCGAATCCAGATTCAAATGACTGGACCTTAACATATTTGGAGCAAAAAAATTATAATCACATTATTTACAAATAATGCAATCAAATCCTTTAACATGGCTTAAAATAAGTTTTAATATTCAGCATACAGTTATTTATTTGGTAAAAAATTAAAAGAATACTGTATGTGGAAGAAATAAGGATAACTTACAGCAGGGGTATCAAACATACGGCCCACGGGCCGGGTGCAATCCGGCCCGCGGGTGTTATTTATGGGGGGAGACGAACTCAATATACCTTAAAATGACTAAAACCTAATCGAAACTGAAAAAATTACAAATCAACCTACATTCATACATTTTCTTGACTGTGTCCAGCTCGCTAATAAATCACCGAAATGAAAGCTAGACAGTCAAGGAGCATCGAAAATTCCAATAACGATGGATAGGGAAAAGAATAGCACATTTTTCCGGCAAGGAAATACCAAAAATGTTCTGTGCGGCCTTCTGGACCTTGTTTAAGACCGAATGCGGCCCTGGGGCAAAATGAGTTTGACACCCCTGACTTACAGTATTGTTTACCAATGAGCAACTATGAGATATAAAATAATTTGTTTCATCTGTTTTAATATGTGTATCATGCTTTTGTGCAAACTGATGCATTAAACAGCATTTTCCCCTCTTAATCATCTTGGTATGCGCAGAGATATGGACTCAACTGATGCCACATTCTGCTAATAGACAAGTCACATTTAACTTCAAATTAAAAGTCAAAAAATGAATTAAAGAATAGGTAATCAACGAAAACACAGTGGCATAAGTGGCCTATAATTTATAACACAGCCTAAGCGAGGTACGAGGAGGAGGGGTTTCTCCCTGTGCTTGACACGTACCTCTGTGCTCTACACTAGAAATTGTATGGGATAGCTGCTGGTTTACTGCAGCTGCGGGTTGGACGAGACCGGGTCGATTGGGACGGGGTCTTGACAACGGAGGAGTCCCCATTATTAGCACTCGACTTAGGGTTCCGTGGCATGGCCTTTCTCCCGCGCCTAGGGTGTGTTACAAACGCTATGTCCGTTCGTTCGGAACCATACCTATTTTCTGGATCATCATCATCTTCTGCTGCTGCCCAAGAAGGCCCAGACTGGGGCTGTTCTTCATCGCCTACAGAGTGAGAGAGTACAAAAAAGAGAAAAGGTTAGTTCAACATTTGCCAATGAGGAAATCTACACTGCTAGCTGAAAAGGGTTAAACTTCAACTCATGAATGCAGTGCATTGCCTCAAAAGTGCAGAGAAAGTGAGACCAGCTCACCGGACGACTGGTGGAAAGCTGCTGCCCCCAGTAAGGCAACCTCCTCAGTGATAGGCTTGATCTTCTGGTCACAACTGTAATCGCTTGACTCAGAGTCCTGGTCCCCCTCTTCTTGACTGGAAGAGGATGGCGTCTGCTTCGTTCTCTGCTCGGATTGAGGTGTGCTTTTAGGCTTGGCTACCTGGGTATTACCCTCCTTGCTGGATGTAGATTCATCCTCTTTCTTGACCTTCCGAGGTCTGCCCCTGGGCCTATGTTGCGGACTCTCCTTGCTTTGGGTAGGTTCATCCTCTCTCTTAACCTTCCGAGGCCTCCCCCTGGGCCTGCTGCTCATAGTCTTGATCTCCTTCTGCAGGTCCGGATCGTCACTGGAGGAGTCGGAGTCAGAGGAGCAGTCTGGCACCTTGCGTTTGCGGACAACTCTTTCTGGAGAGAGGGGCGTGTTCTTCTTCAGGCCGAAGAGGCATTTCTTGGTCACGCTCCGATGGTCTCCATCGTCACTCTCGGCTTCGTCTGAACTGCGCGTCATGGCTGCCCGCTGGAGGACAGCGGGGACTTCATCGGAGTCAGAGTCATCAATTCCTCTCCCAAGCCCTCCCTCGTCAGCTCCTTGAGGCACTTCAGCACTGGGGCTGGTGTCAGGGTCTGAGTCACTCTCACTGTCCGCACCTGAGGGGGTAGGCTGGGTCTTGCCATCACCTGGCCTGCGTAAGGGCGTGGTCTTTACCCGAGGTGAGCGTCTATTATCTGGTTCCTCTTCCAGTTCCAGAGATTCGCTTCCCTCAGCAGATTCATACTCCCCCTCTGTTACAAGTTCAATAGATTCACAGTCTCCCTCTATTTCCTCCACTTTTTCTTTTCTCTCTTCCTCTTCCGCCTCCAACTCCACTTCCACCTCCAACTCCGGGGGGCCAGAGAGCGGCTCTATTTCAACAGGGGCAGGTGAAATTTGCACCACCAGTTGTTTTGTCACGTTGCAAGCATCTTCTCCGGGCTTTGAGTTTTTCCGCGGCCTGCCTCTACCTCGTCGGGGCATTATCTCTGTGCCAAGGACACCTTTCATTTCAATTGAGGACGAAGGCCTTCCATCGTCCGTAAAGCCATTTGAGTCTGAATCATTCTCTTCCAAATGTTCAGCTGCAATTTTCTTTAAGTAATGTAGGCCATTTTTTTCAGAAATGTCAATTTCCACACAACTCTCTTGTTCTTGTTGAGGTACATCAGTATCATCAAACGTTGGGTTTTCCCCACCATTTGGCAAACCCATCTCTCTGAACTCCTCCAAAAGGGCTTCCTCCAGAGCTGTCTGAGACTTCTTCAGACCCTTCAGTACTGACTGGAAAGTCTTAAGGTATTGGAGCTTTACCTCAGTTGTCTGTTTCTGCTGCATGCCACCTTGAATGAACTTCACAAAAGTTGTGTTTACGGTGTTTGTAGAGTCCACCAGGTTTTTAGCCTTTTTGGCCATCTCCTCTGGAATTTGAAGGGTGTTGTAGTTGAACACAACGTGACCATCCATGCCACTATGGTTCCAATGACCCACGGAATTGTTTTGAGAATGCCTTGGATGAGAGTCATAATGTCCAGATTTGCCCTCGCCTCTGCCCCTCTTGCGGTGGTCTGGCCACAAATGCCCCAAGTTGTCAAGGACGTTGTCACAGGCAACGACCAGGTCCAGTAGAGGCTCTGGGCTGCACACGTAGCAATACCACTTACTCTCCTCATCCAGGATGCCAGACAGCTCCTTTCGCCCCAAGTTCCGCAAAATGCATTTCTTACAGAAGGCGTTGGGGCAAAAGTCGCAGCAGATCAGGTTTCCCCCCTCTGCACACCATCTGTAAAAAGCAAATACAATAGATTGAAGTGATGATTAACGTAACAACTTTTATGTTTGTTAACGTTTCGGGATTTGCTTGCAGCATCTTGTTGTATAAGAGAACCACCCCATCGTACCTGCACTGTTCATCCATGCCATCACAATCCTTGCTGATGTCATCACTTGAGTAATACTTGAAACAAGACTGAGAAAATAATAAGACAATTAGGAATTGAGCCCCTAAAAATGTAGGTGAGCTCAACAACATATTGTTGGAGAATGCCCATTTTAACCAATGTGACGTTAAGACCATTTATTTAAATGACCACTTCTTTGACAGACCCAGGATCCTCTCACCTTGCAAATAAGTACTTTGAGTACTGGATGCTGATAAAAGGAGTCCCTCTGGAAGTGGTTAACTTGCTGGCCACAGGCTGTACAGCTAACAATCTCCAAGTGTTCACCGCCTACAAAGACATCAATCGTCATTCTGCAGCAGACTATTTTAAGGTAAAATATATGTTTTTTCACATTTATTAATGAAAGCTCACCTCCACGTCTCCTGGAAAAAGCTCTCTTCAGATTGCCAGATTTTCCGCAACGGAATTCGGGACCTCTGAAGTCATCTCTGACATTTTCCACCGGCTCAGGCCTCACCAGTACAGTGCCTGTGCATAAGACATGTAAAAACACATGCATGAAAACCAAAGAATTTTCAGTTTATAAATGCAGTGATACATTATTAATATCTCCTTACAGTATAGTTGAAAGCATTAGTAGAAAAACTAACCTTTCGGTAATCTTGTTATATCAGGATAACCATTTGAATTGATTTTCAAGCCGTCATCATCATCCTCACTTTCATTTGAAGCACCAGATTCATCCAGTCCGCTGTGTTTAATCACAACTGAAGGTTTTCTGTAATACAAGTGACATCCATTAGAGTATGCACAAACACCAAAATACGATGTTTTTATGTGTTTCCCGGCCATAAACAACGTACATAAACTATCACATATTTCAAAATATCAGAAGGAAGCCCACCTCCTGGAACCACATCCAGACTGCTTCAAGGCTTCTGTTGAGGTCTGTTGAGGCTGTATTCAACAAGAACATTTTTATAAATAGATCTTCTAGATCTGCATCAACACTGAATACTCTTTGGTCTATAACAGCCTAAACTGATATTTCTCATGTTAATACCTCAAGAGGGGTTCGGTCTGTTGAGTGTGCCGCCACACAGTCCTTGTTTGTTATACCTGTGAATTAAAATCAGCAGACAATTCTGAGTACCTACAAATATTACTTCGAACACCACCATGCCTACTGAGTTAAAGTTTCACTTATTACAGTTATCACCATCAGGACTTTCTGTCACCAGTGTGTCCTCATCTTCCTCTGGAGCATGAGCCAAGAACTCATGCAGTTTGGTCACCAACACATCGAGCTTGCTCGTGCCAGGAGGAACGCTGAAAGGAATGAATAGAATGAACAGAAATTCAGCATACGTCCTCAACCATGCGATTTTCTTTCTAAAAAAACACCTTTGTTCAAATTCCTAACCAAAAAGTGTGTGGATATATGACATAGCTATGATGATGTGGACATATCTGTCCTTGTGCGCATCGGTCTATTTCCTTCAGTAACAGTTATTATCATGATTCAATAGTAGGCTAGCTAGCTATTCTACCTTACTGTCTGTAATGCATACCAGATCATTGACAAAATAAATTAGTTAGCTAACGTTAGCTAGCTAACGTTTGCTAGTAGCGATCATACCTAAATATCAAACGAAATGCATAACTTTGGGCACAGATATGGGGCTATCTTGATGCACGTACTAATATAATGTAAATAGTACAAGTAGGACTAGCAGCTTGAATGCGAGAACGGACTAACTAGCTACTTTAGGACTATCTGCAGCAAATAAACTAACTAGTTAGCTAGCTAGCTATTGCTTGCCCGATTAGCTTGCTCAGGCAGCTGGAGACTTTCGCTATATTAACGTTACCTGAGCATCTCTGCGGACATCTTGAGCTGGTCAAATGCACCTTATGCAAACGGCGCACTCAATGGGCTTATTCCCCCCAAAATTCCACAATTCCCCTCATTATTGCAAGTAATTTCTGCTCAGATTACCAACACAATGCCGGACACCAACAGAGGCGCTAGCTAAGCAAAAATGGCGCTGTTTCTCTGATGCCTTGGTCATTGCGACTGCGCAGACTTGAAAATGGGCGCGTTCCAGTCTGTAGGCCTACCACAGATAGAACAATGAGCTTGTTTAACAAATCTTTTGGCGTACTGTATCTAGCTCAGTGATATCAACTGAGGTATAAAGACTATATCTTCTTCTTCTCTCAAATTTGATAGCGTACCACAACTAATGTTGTATTGCCGCCACCAACTGGTGGGGGTGGAAAAAAATACGGAGAACGGAAAAAAGTCATTCATCCACACACAATACTAATAAAAAAAACTTTACAAAAATCGTCCCACTCCTTCTTCAGTCATTCAAAAAACTCCATAACTCCCTACTCAGGCTCTGGGGCCTGGGACGGTGGGGTCACTTGAGAAAGTACTTAATGTAACTCCTCAGATGTGAAATATTTGAATAAGGAACCCCTCAGCTGCAGAAACAATGATGTCAATCTTTCTTGACTTATTTTCAACTTGAGCTGTGCCGTTTAATAACGTTTACATATATTGCATTACTCATCTCATATGTATATACTGTATTCTATAATATTCTACTGTATCTTAGTCCATGCCGCTCTGTCATTGCTCGTCCATAAATGTATATATTCTTAATTCCATTCCTTACTTAGATTTGTGTGTATTGGGTATATGTTGTGAAATTGTTAGATATTACTTGTTAGATATTACTGCACAGTCGGAGCTAGAAGCACAAGCATTTCGCTACACCCGCAATAACATCTGCTAAACACGTGTATGTGACAAATAAAATGTGATTTGATTACCACCATTGCTATAAAAGTCACAACATCAACCTTCCTCAAATGAAGAATTTCTGCGTCCTGCTGGTGATGGGCAAACTGCAGTCTGCGGCGTAGGCCTATCCACCATGGGACCTTCAGAGCCATTTGTTCTTTCAATCTTTTTAACAGCCTCTGCATAAGAAAATCTCTGAACTGCCCTTACTTTGGAAAACGTAATATCTTTCACCCTTGTTGGATATTCTAAGGATTTCACTTCATGTTTTCCGTAACAGTTACAAATCTTTGCTCCTTGTCCATTCTCGTCTGCTAAACAGTTTCCATAATAATAATATAATATGCCATTTAGCAGACGCTTTTATCCAAAGCGACTTACAGTCATGCGTGCATTCATTTTTTTGCGTATGGGTGGTCCCGGGGATCGAACCCACTACCTTGGCGTTACAAGCGCCGTGCTCTACCAGCTGAGCTACAGAGGACCACAATCATAGTGATCTTTCCACATATCCCACATATTGGCTTCTCCCATCTGCAGACACTTGCTACATGTCCAAACATTTTACAGCGGTTACATTGCAAAGGTATGGATATAAAGGCTCTCACAGGATAGTACACCCGAGGAGGCTGGTGAGAGGAGCTATATGAAGACTGGCTCATTGTAAAGGCTGGAATGGAATTAATGGAACGGTATCAAACATATGGAACCACATGCTTGACTCCGTTCCATTTATTTAATTCCAGCCATTACAATGAGCCCGTCCTCCTATAGCTCCTCCCACCAGCCTCCTCTGTAGTACACATATCTCAGCTGCACTCGGGTAGGGAGACACGCCACATAAAAAAAACACAAGAACAGACAAACTCTTCACCTTCATTCCATTTACCACACGATTCATATTTCGTGCATCGACCACTCAAGGAACATTCTTCAATAGAGCAATGCCAACCTCTTCCGAGATTCCAGAAATTACTCCTTTGACAGGTGCCCTTCTCCATAGATCAAAGCAAGACACAATTAATTAATCAATTCGAGTGAGACCCAAAACACGCCTTTTATGATCATCAGAAACACACGAAATGAAAACAAGCCCACTTCTCGTAAACTTCACCGATTTCACTTTACCCAAAGCTTTCACCACCATTTTAGATGCTTCAAACCGATTCACCAAGTCTGGCATACATTGTTTTTCCAAAAACCGCACTCCTACCAGATACGATGGGATATGATCAGAACTAGACATACTTTCCACAGCAATTTTACTCATTTTCCCATCATTTTGGACAAAAGTCCACTCATCAGTTTTTTCTACCGCCATCCGATTCATGTTCCACTCCACATCCGCTTCCGCCATCTCCAGACTCTCACTCTTTGAGTTAAAATGTTACGTTTGTCGCTTTCCAGGTAGTCATTTTATTGTAGGCAACTAACGTTGCGCAGATGATCACACAAAGCCTCGGAGCCACATTGGTATTGTAACAACCCTTGGGTCGTCGTTACGATCTCGGCTAAGCAGGTTAACCGCTATTGGAGCAGTGGTTCGCAAGTCTGCCTACAGGCTGGGAGACCGAAGTTCGAGATTCAAAAGAGGCAATGCACAGTCGTTGTTCGTTACACTGGTGTGAGATGTAGGCTTGCACCCCTGTGATATGTAGGATTGCACCCGAGGCCATTGGAAAGGAGTGTACAGACATGGTCATGCTGCTTCTTCCCTATGGGCATTCCACCCCCTCAACAGTCTTTACTCTGCTTCCACCCCAATGGTCATTTATTTATTCATCACTGCCACAGTTATGTATATAGTGCTATTTATATTATTTCACTAGTGTTGCATGTTGGAGCTCGAAGCCTAAGATTTTCACTGTACCCTGCAATCACACCTGCAACCCTGTACATGTGGCTATTAAACAATCTGAATCTGAATCCTGAATGGAGAAAGTAGTGTAATGGTTAATGCTATCCAGGTATCCTTGGGACCTCCCTAAACTTAATCTTAAAATGTTAACTCGTACAGGAAAAAAATACATTTCTATATATATACAGTGAGGGAAAAAAGTATTTGATCCCCTGCTGATTTTGTACGTTTGCCCACTGACAAAGACATGATCAGTCTATAATTTTAATGGTAGGTTTATTTGAACAGTGAGAGACAGAATAACAACAAAAAAATCCAGAAAAACGCATGTCAAAAATGTTATAAATTGATATGCATTTTAATGAGGGAAATAAGTATTTGACCCCTCTGCAAAACATGACTTAGTACTTGGTGGCAAAAACCCTTGTTGGCAATCACAGAGGTCAGACGTTTCTTGAAGTTGGCCACCAGGTTTGCACACATCTCAGGAGGGATTTTGTTCCACTCCTCTTTGCAGATCTTCTCCAAGTCATTAAGGTTTCGAGGCTGACGTTTGGCAACTCGAACCTTCAGCTCCCTCCACAGATTTTCTATGGGATTAAGGTCTGGAGACTGGCTAGGCCACTCCATGACATTAATGTGCTTCTTCTTGAGCCACTCCTTTGTTACCTTGGCCATGTGTTTTGGGTCATTGTCATGCTGGAATACCCTTCCACGACCCATTTTCAATGCCCTGGCTGAAGGAAGGAGGTTCTCACCCAAGATTTGACGGTACATGGCGGCCCCGTCCATCGTCCCTTTGATGCGGTGAAGTTGTCCTGTCCCCTTATCAGAAAAACACCCCCAAAGCATAATGTTTCCACCTCCATGTTTGACGGTGGGGATGGTGTTCTTGGGGTCATAGGCAGCATTCCTCCTCCTCCAAACACGGCGAGTTGAGTTGATGCCAAAGAGCTCGATTTTGGTCTCATCTGACCACAACACTTTCACCCAGTTCTCCTCTGAATCATTCAGATGTTAATTGGCAAACTTCAGACGGCCCTGTATATGTGCTTTCTTGAGCAGGGGGACCTTGCGGGCACTGCAGGATTTCAGTCCTTCACGGCGTAGTGTGTTACCAATTGTTTTCTTGGTGACTATGGTCCCAGCTGCCTTGAGATCATTGACAAGATCCTCCCGTGTAGTTCTGGGCTGATTCCTAACCGTTCTCATGATCATTGCAACTCCACGAGGTGAGATCTTGCATGGAGCCCCAGGCCGAGGGAGATTGACAGTTATTTTGTGTTTCTTTCATTTGCGAATAATCGCACCAACTGTTGTCACCTTCTCACCAAGCTGCTTGGCGATGGTCTTGTAGTTCATTCTAGCCTTGTGTAGGTCTACAATCTTGTCCCTGACGTCCTTGGAGAGCTCTTTGGTCTTGTCCATGGTGGAGAGTTTGGAATCTGATTGATTGATTGCTTCTGTGGACAGGTGTCTTTTATACAGGTAACAAACTGAGATTAGGAGCACTCCCTTTATGTGTGCTCCTAATCTCAGCTCGTTACCTGTATAAAAGACACCTGGGAGCCAGAAATCTTTCTGATTTTAGAGGGGTCAAATACTTATTTCCCTCATTAAAATGCATATCAATTTATAACATTTTTGACATGTGTTTTTCTGGATTTTTTTGTTGTTATTCTGTCTCTTACTGTTCAAATAAACCTACCATTACAATTATAGACTGATCATGTCTTTGTCAGTGGGCAAACTTACAAAATCAGCAGGGGATCAAATACTTTTTTCCCTCACTGTATATATATATATATATATATATATATATATATATATATATATATATATATATATATATATATCAAATGTATTTTAAATACATTGTGATGGAAATGTTTGTGTTTTTCTAATAACCAATTTCTGTGTTCATGCAAGTGACTGATTGAACATGCCTGGGAGGAATCCTCATGATCAGTATCTGCAATTTGGCAGTACGCCGAGACCCTTGTGTTAAGAAAGAAAGATCTCAGTTTCAAGGTTTCAGCTTGGAGAGAAGAAGCCTTGTGAGGTATTGGTCTGTCACATGCATGAACCAGTATTGGTCAGTCACATGAAAGAAGCAAACGTTAATAATGAATTATGAATAAGCTAAATCATGCAAATATTACTTTCTGTGTAAGCAGTATATCACATTTCAAGAGAAGACCCAGATGCAGACAGTGTTGAAGTAACAAAAGTTTATTACAAAAACAGGGGGCAGGCAAACGACAGGCCAAGGGCAGGCAGAGGTCAGTAATCCAGATCAGAGTCCAAAAAGTACAGAACGGCAGGCAGTCTCAGGGTCAGTGCAGTCAGAGGTCAATAATCCAGGGTGGTGTGACAAAGTACAGAGCGGCAGACAGGC